TTTGCGTAGGACGTTAGGACAGGTAAGGGGTGGGGGTTTGGTTAATTTATTTGTTTTGGATCAGCTCGGCCGTTCTCCCATTTCCCTCTGTAGTTTATTATTATTAACCTGGCACGTGCTAGCCTGTTTAAACCAAACCCATCGGTGTTGGTGTGATTACTTGCGCCCACACCCGGTCTCTGGCCTTCTGGGGTTCTTGGCAGCGCGATGTTCGTTCCCCTCCCCTCACGGGGTGCTGTACGCGCGTAACAAATTGGGGCTCGTCCGGGATCTGTGCCCCCCGCTGCTCGGACCCTGATTAACCATTGACTGGTGTGTAGGTGAGAGCCATTGTGTTGTACTATTGTTTAGTATAAGTGAATAATGTGTGTGTGGCAGTAGTGAGTACTTGCGTGTGGTAAGATCTACAACACCACTTCTACTCCATAAACATAGTTCTTACTTCCTCTGCCTGCAGGGTCTGCGTTTTGGCCCCTCGCGTTAAACGGCCGGTTGAGTTGTGACAAGTTCCCAGGCTCGTCTCAGGTGCCGTCAGATTTGTCTTACCACTTTGCATGTTTAGTTTTTTTTTGTGTTGCTAGTGATGCATCACCGTGTACAGAGAAACAATCAACGCGTGTCCTGGGTTTGTGTTTGGGCCTTTAGTGCCGTCTTTTGACCTCATGGTGGCGCTAGAACAGATCTCTTCAAAATGATCAGTATTTACAGACAAAGTGTTCATCTACAACACTTTTGTTGTTGTTTTATTGATCTGAAATGACCTTTTTTAACGGATTAAGTGTGCTAGGATGTCCCCTGGACGCGGTGGAGGTGTTGGGTGACAGGAGGATGATCATCCCTGATGACCAACACCTCCCACCCCATCCATGGTGGACGTCCTGGAAGCTCTGTACAGCTCCTTCAGCCAGCGGCTGATTCACCCCCGGTGTGTGAAGGAGAGGCACCGCAGGTCCTTCATCCCGGCTGCTGTCAGGCGGCACAACCAACAGTGCACCCAGTGAACCACTAAACACGTGTGTGTGTGTGTGTTGTTATTTTCCTCAACATTCTACACACAACAACCCATAATGACAAAGTGAAAACTGATTTTTGCAAATCTATTAAAAATAAAGAACGAAAACATAACATGTACATATTATTCACAGCCTTTGCCATGACACTCAAAATTGAGCTCCGGTGCATAGTTGTTGTTTATTGTTGTTTATGTGGACCACGGACAGTGGGCGTGACAGATGAATTTTCTACGAATAAGAAACTTCCATCTGACATGTTTGATATCTGCTCAACGCATTGTCATATTTACATACAATCCTTCAAATGAATAAAACATAACTATGACAAACTATAGTGAAGCTGCCTTTGTAATTCTATTCCATTTAAAATTAGAAGGAGGAATAAAATGAGCTACTAATCCTTTTGCTTAGAAAGTTTTCTCAAAAGAATTGGATGTGTGAAATGAATCCATACTAATACAATTTTAATAAATATTACAACGAGCTGCTCTGAACTTCTCTTCTGTTTCAAACACGTCAGTGACATTTTGTTCTGTTTTCATTCGGCAGGTATCGACCGTCCTACATCTCCAGACTCAAATACGAATGGAACAAATATCCAAGGTCAGTAGGTGTTGAGGTAAACATTTCTCAGGAAGTACTTTTCAAAATAAACGCTAAAATGTTCTTTGAACAGGAATGACTAATAACAGGTATTAAGCACGCAGGCTGTTTGCCTCCACACATTAACATAATGCCGATAAAAAGGTTCTGGGCGAACAATTGAATTTTGACTTCCTATTTGTAATCCAGAATAGAGGAAATAACAGCTGTGTGCAGTAACACGTGACTGAAGTCTAAAGTTTGAGGCGGATCCTTATGAGGGGCCGTTTAGGACTTAGGACAGGTGTGTCTCACACACACTACTGAGACACTTGCACATACTCTGTAAACATATGCACTCATCTGACACGTACATATGAGAAACATGCCCACATGCATATATACTGCTGTGTCATATACACATACAGATGAAATGCTTACATGCATACAAGTGAAACATTTGTACGTATCTATCTGAAACACTCATACATGCAGATATGAATAGGTTGTGTATATATATACACATATATATATTATAACACTTATACATGCATTACTCAATCTCTTGCATCTAATTAGCAAGATATAAAAAGTGTAGATACATATACAAGTGTTTCACATGTATTCATACGAGTAATCTCACTAGTGTGTATGAATGAAATGTCACCAGCATCTCAGTCACAGCGGAAGGCAGAAGCAAAGAGAGCAGGTTTTCAACCGCGCCAATCTTACACCCGTCCTTAATATGTTTTTAAATCCAGACTTTTCTATACTTCTGTAGGTCCAAGTTCATAAATAATACTATACTTAAGTCACGAAATGTAATTTCAGGACTTTTTCAGATTAACATTAGTAACATAAGAAAAACAAACATTGTAAGAACAACAAGAACAACATTCATTAATTGCCATTAATCGAGATTAATGAATTTCAAAATGTGCGATTAATTAGTTAATTTGTTTTAATTTATTGACCCTAGTGTGTGTGTGTGTATAAATATATATATATATATATTGTGGTGTATATACATGTAATATAAACAACTTCTAGATTGAAAATTCAATGTTGAATATTATTTATTCGTAGTCTTCTGTTTACATTTCAATATCTGCTTTGCTTTGCTGCAATCCTAAATTTGCAAATGATTTAACTTAAGAAGACAACAAGCAGTCAAGGATGTTTATTTAGGAGGTCTTTAAATACTGCGGAGATGTTGCCCAATACAGCTGGGTCCAAGGGACTCCCAGCAGATGGAGGACTCCCAGCAGATGGAGGACTCCCGGCAGATGGAGGACTCCCGGCAGATGGAGGACTCCCGGCAGATGGAGGACTCCCGGCAGATGGAGGACTCCCGGCAGATGGAGGACTCCCAGCAGATGGAGGACTCCCAGCACTTTGAGAACTTCGAGCGGATGCAAATAAAAGCAGCAGCACCATCATCAGCCACAGCCTCGCCATCTGGATACATTATATATAAGTTTAATGATCGAGTTCAATATTGTCGATACAAGGATAAAACAAAAGGAAGGAGTTAAAAAATATGTTGTTGCAAATTAGTACATTTTCTCCTTTCACTGAGTCAACAGTCAAGTCCCTGGGATTTAGGATGAAACCAAATGAATGGAATAAGAATAATAAACACCTAAATGATATAAACTGATGATTTGAAATCGCTTACCGATCAGGCAATACTGGTCTGCTCCAGAAGGAGGTGGTGCTGCTACAGGCGGCCTCATGAGCAAGATGCAGTTACCAACCCGACCCCATTAGACCATGAAGCTAATTAAACTCAGTTGACTCACCTGAGCAGGATGAGGGGAGCAAGATGTACAGGTATGATCAATATGATCGGCATCAGTCTGAGTCAATAATTCACTAGTTAACCCACTTAAATATGATTGAGTGCAGTTTTCCTCTTGATCTCATGGACACGTGTGTTCTTAATACAGCTGATACGACTACTTTCTCAACATGAGTCTTCAGTGTCCCGTTTCTTGCCAGGAGGGGGCGGTGTTTGCATTTATACTCATAGTTATCCATCCATCACTGGAAGGAAATCTGATCTG